TGAAATAATCATATGCTATATATATATATAGCATATGATTATTTCATATTTCATATTTCATATATATATATATGAAATATAAAATGTTATATATATATATGTTATATATTGTTGTATATATGTTATATATTGTTGTATATATATATATACAACAATTATAATATATGTAGTTCTATAGAATTAAATCATTTTAACTTTATTTCACAGCTTTAGACAGCTAATTGTTGAATTTGTAGGGCATTGCCTGCATTAAGTATAACCCGCTTAAAGATTTCCGGTTAAAAAGTCAACTTTGTTTAACTTGATCTGAACTTTGCCAGTGTTTGACGTTGTCAGGGTCAAGTGTCTACAGAACCGTGGACAGGAGAGAGGATGACAGAGATAGGGACCGCTCGCCGCTCAGAGCCGAGGAACGCTGCGATACAGATGATTGCGATCAGTCAGATGCAAGGAAACAGAAGTTGGTGTTTGGCTTTGGGAAAAAGACAAGTGGCAACGAGCAGAAGAAGGGAATTCAAATTAAATTAGGTTCCGTCTCCGTAAGTAAAACATTCATGTCGACCCTGATGCTCTGCACACATTTCTTTCCACATGAAAACCTCTTTCCTTGCACAAAATCCCACTCTTACATATAAGAAACTCTCCTTTGTATAGAAGTCGACTGTGAAGGCAACGACAGTACAAAAACCGACGGTAGCCTCGGTGTTCAATGCGGACGAGGATGACGAACCAGAGGAGATGCCAGCAGAAGCGAGGATGAGGATGCGAAATATTGGGCGTGAAACACCAACATCAGCTGGACCAAATTCATTCGGCAAGACAAAGCAGGGATTCTGCGACTCAAAAAAGATATTCGAGAAGACGCTAAAGAAAGCAATGGAGGAAGCAAACAAATGATTTTACATATATGTGTATATTGAAAAATTATTACTTTTAACTTGTACATTAATTTTAAATATTTACTAGAAACTTTGTTCTTGCTGAAGTTTAATGCAAGTATTTTTATGACATGTAATTAATTCATTGGCAGAATTCAGATTTAAAATTTCGACTCAACCTACAGAATGTTAGATGATATGTGCAAAATCATGTATGATAAATCTATATCTATAAAGTACTCACGCTCCACGAGCCTGACGATTCCGAGTTTTTCCATGTAATAGTGACTTATTATTCTGCATTACAATAAAACATTACATATATTTTACCCATCTCTCCCTCGAAATAATAAAAATGATGTTGATCTGTACTTTATGATGTTAGGTAAATGAAGCATCCTTCCAAATTGGTTTTAAAATTTTTCATTTATATCGAAAAATTAACTTTACATAATAAAATTATTTCCTGTTCTGTTGACCTTGGCGCAGATCCTGGAAACAAGAAATAATATATGTACGTTGCGCTATGGATTTTGTAATTATAAAATCATTATATCTACTCATACGAGCAAAGTGATCAGATGTAAATTTATTGGAAATCGTCAAACGTTACCCTGTTGTATTGTACAATTTTATTACAAATGGTCATTTAAAACTTTCATAAAGCAAGTTTACTTATGCTTCCAACTTAGATCAAGTTAAGAACATGAATTTACAGGTTTTTAATATATTATCTCAATTAAACAAACTGAAATCTATTTATATAGACAATTACCCTTGGAAAGTTGCGAACAGGAGGCGTTCTTATACGACGATCCGCCTTGGATCTATTCCGCACCACTTTGGAGTGAATGGCGCAGGAGACGCAGTAATGAAGTTTAGCATATAACTTGGGAAGCTGATATGATTGATAAAAGCTGGCCTCGGTTATGTCTCTGACGGCAGCAGCCTCTACAATGTTACGAATGACAAACTTCTTGATGGCCTTATCCTTGGGGACACAGCGAGCACAATTGGTACAGCGGACTGGATTTACATGACCGCGACCGTGCTTGGCACGTCCACCGTTCCTGCGTTTACAAGTCTGACAAGTAAACAGAAATGAATTAGATGTATATAAACGCAGGTAGCATGTCAGAAACACAACGGTCATAAATACTGTTTGTGGCAGTGGCTCAATCATATGAATGTGAATATATTTAGTATATATTATATTGTATAGTATATAACATAATATAAATTGGATATATAGTGTACGTGTTATATACAGCCATTGACAAAATTATTAGGCACCCTTTTTCTTCTGAATATCTTGGAACTAAATGAGTGTAAAGCTTTTTGTTGGTTTTATCCTATTGGCCTTCTGAATGGTTCAAATAATTGAGGTACATATACTACGTTTATGCGAGCGTTACTTCTGTAGTAACTTACGATAATTCACTCGTTTACGCGGAGTAAAATATCGTGTTACTACAGAACTAACGCTCATGTAAACGTAGTATTTGTACCTAATTGTTTGAACCATTCACAAAATCAATTAAGATGAAAATAATACGTTAGCAGAAAACTCATTCATTCCAAGAGTGTGGCTGTGTGTGTGTGTGTGTATGTAGTATAAATCAATTATAATAAAAGTTGTCACTAACATCCATACATGCACCATGTGATACACACACGACATTAGGTTAGGATATAATTCGCTCTCGAGTCCTCGTTCCCGTCGATTTTTACGATAAATCGCGAACGTACTTTGCCTGCATTTCTAGAATTAACTTAAGTTAGATTCAACGCTCATTATATCTTCGCGACGATCAAATAATGCGGCGACCACATGGCCAGTAGCCCAGAGGGGGAAGAGCAGCTTTAGCGAAAGGATGTTAATCCACCGTGAAATTTACGTCTCTAACATGCGACCCATGTTCGGCCTTAGTGACATCGAGGAAATGTCGTGTGCGCGAAACACATAGTGCGAGAATTCGAATAAATTGTGAGTGATAAACAATCCGTATTACCATTTTGTATCGAGAACTACACAGAAGAGGTCCAGAACGGAAGCACCCAATGACACTACAATGCAAGATAGAAGTGCCTCACCCGTTTCGATTCACACAACCGCACTTCCGGCCATGGTGTAATAAAGAAAAGAAGTGTGCTCTGTTACGTCACGATTATTGGACAAATCGATATAAACCGCGATATGTGCTTTTCACTTAGGCCCGGTCTACAATGGATGTTGGAAGTCGGAGTCGTAAGAAATTGACCAATCACAGTTCATTATTCTTCGACCGCAAGGAGAATAATAGATTGTGATTGGTCAATTTCTTACGACTCCGACTTCCGACATTCATTGTAGACCGGGCCTTAAAGGTGAAATTTCATGGGCAGTGAAAAGCAGCAGCAGATTGTACTGATTGGCTATAAAATAGAAAAGTTTTCCAGTTCCTAAAACTTCTCTATTTTGTAGCCAATCAGTACGATCTGCTGCTACTTTTTACTGCCCATGAAATTTCACCTTAAGGTGGAAGCACATAAAATTGCAGGAGCACCCACAAGCATTCGTATGTATTTGACCGGAAATGAATGTCCGGGAAAGAATCTACCATATGAAATCGTTTGTATTTCGTATGAAGACTTTTGAAGTGCAATTGAAAAGGTTTGTGAGTCATTCGTTTAATTGTAATTAATTAATTATTTTTACACCATGCATTTAGCCGAAGTAAATAAATTAATAAAAGTTTTTATACGGAATCGTTTGTATTTTGTATGA